GCTGATTAGAAATTATGTGTTAACGAGCAGTTGGACAGGTGTACCTAATAAAGTGGCCGGTGAGTGTATACTTTGATACTTCAGTTATTTCACATGATTTATATCATTTACAGGAAAATAGTGGAAAATAACTAAACGAAACCATAWGTGGTTGGAGGGAACTACTTTTTCTTCTGCTTGGGTGATGCAGAAGCGAAGTGGCACGTGCTCTATCAGTCTGTAGATGTACGGCAGGTCATTTTAACATAAAATCTGCTTCGTCTGAGTGTCTATAATAACATTTTAGATTCTAGGGTTCCTAAACTTTTTCATGCAATGGCCCCCAAACAGCATTAGCTCCGGCCAGGGACCATCTAGCAAACCCACAAACCATGCTACAAAATATACAAAGTAACAAGTTTTATAATATTTTCTCTCACTATTATTCACTATTCAAAAATTATTATATTCCTTTTGAATAAGAATTTTAAATTGTGCTAAAAGACTTATAAATTACTCTGTCATTTATTATTTATAAAGCAGTTATTTGAAAAGCGCTACTTTTTATGTTTTACCAGACACATTATGTGTTATTACAAAAGTACCAGATCAGTATCGCTTATACCAGCTAAACTTTACTCGGTATCAGTATCAGAAAGACAACTGTCAGTYTGGAACATCACCAGCCCAGAGTGAGCAGAGAGGATCACTCATTGACTGAATATTATTAGAATTAATATAATGAAGAGTATGATGTAGACCTGCTTTATATGAGAAGTGCTCTGAGATGGTTCAGTACATTTCTGTAACTGAGATGATCAGAAAGCTTTGTGAAAAGGGAGATTTGTCCTGAGAATTGTTTAAAAAGTGATTTAGTGCCAGTAGTGATGAGAGGAACAGGTGAGCTGCTGTAACTGTGTGAAACACAGCGTCAGAAAACAAGCCTTAGTTTCAATATAACCACTTTACACGCTCAAACAGTATAAACCTGTTATGTTTTTACAATTAAAAGTAAGATAATATACACAACGCCCACAGTTAAAAAGGAATAAGATGAAAGTAATATGAAATAAACCTGCAGATTTTGACATTAAACATGTATTAAATATTTAAATCAAAATGTGTTTTCCATATAAAATGTGGTCAAGATTTACAGATACAGTTTATTTTGGTACAAGTGCAGGTGAGTGTATGGAATATTATGTCTGATCATCCGGCTGCATGATGGATCAGTTAGCAGAAGGTCCTGGGTTCAGTCCCCGGTTTGGACTCGGGGTCTGCCTGTTCTTGTTCTCATGTGGGTTTCCTCCAGGTCACAGACCAAAAACCTGTACAACGGGTCACGTTAGGTCTGGGCTTCCTTGCAGAAGAGATCTGAGATCTCAGTGGGTTTGACTGTTTAAATAACAATAAATCCATCTCATAATCAGATAAATCTTTGAAGCTACGCTTAAAAACATTATGGCATCATTAAAATATAACAAACTTGGAGCACATACATTTTTGTTTAGTCATAAGGATTAGATACWGTATCTGCAAACACTAATTTGTTTGATATTTGAGATGACAGAAAATGACATTTTGATGTAAAGAATAGTGGAGATTTAACGTGTTGTCATGTTTGTAAAATCTAAATTATGATGGAAATGTTTTAGTGTAGAGGAAAAAGAGACGATGGTGTTAATAAGGTCCAACACTTTATTCTTTTAATCTAATATTTTATTTATTATTTTATTTCACAGCACTTATTTAAAAAAAATGTAGCCTAGATTCTGATACTGTTGATGTGTTGTAAATAATGCTGGAGATGTCACTTGTGTTGAAATAAATCTWCATTGTAACAACAAACTGAATCACAGGTTTTACAGAACAGTCAGTATTATTGATGATTTAAAGGTTATAATTACATGACTTTAATAATAATATGTCTTGATGTATAATGGGACAGTCTGCAGGGCTGAATGAGTCCCACTCCGGCCCTGACTATAACTGAGTTTTACAGACACAGTTATATTCTGGTGTTGTAGTGGCTGAGAGTCTTTTCATCAAGGTTAGACRCATCATGTCACAACATAAACTCACCTGATTAAAGGCAGCGGGTCATACCAGACCTTCATTTATAAAGGGTTACCTGCAGTTGTTCAAAAACCTCACCTGTTTGATCTGGTCGGACTCGGACACCTGGACGGCCGCCATGTTTCACCCTGGAGACAATCACACCAGACTCCATTCAAAAACTGTCACATTTTACAAACACTTTGTGTTCTCTTATGAACTGCTTTATTTATCAATCTCTATAAAATGTATCCTTTAACTTGTTAACTTTAGTTTTATTTCAGTGTTCATAAATAAATCTGTGGGATTAGGGTTAAAAGTGTAAAAAATCAGATTATCATCACGATGATGCAGCACCGGATGTGCTCAGCTCTCCTCGGCAGTTAAACAGTTTACATATTTGTTTTATCTTTATCTTGTTTTATATTTATTATATTTACACAACAAGAAACCCACGTGTTAGACACATGTTTTAATGTTACCTGCGTGGATCGGTACCACTGTGCGTCCGTGTCTGGTCCAAAAGAGGCTCGATCAAAATCACGAAGGTCGGTAGCGAATCTGAGCCGCAGATTCCACACAAAATGTTTTGATTTTTATTAAAACGCGCTTGAATTTAGAGACTTTCCCATTAAATATTATATGTTTATATTATTAGTTCTTTTTATATATAAATTCTGGACTCAAGTAGTTTATAAGGARAGACTACAAGCTGAAAACAAGCCGTGACGAAAGTACTGCAGAAAATGTTACCATGTCCTTCTGTTAACGTCGCCACCTGGTGCACAAGGATGCTCATTTACCTTCGGAAATTAAATCTCTGTAACTAAAATCAAACATGTCCTTGCAGTGACTAAAACACAAGTCTTATAATATATAATATGAGTCATTATCTAGTCAATATAATATATAATATAAGTCATTATCTAGTCAATATAATGAATGTTTCCAAAGTTGAGGTCCACAGCCGGTCCTTCCTGCAGGGGGCAGCAGACCTGCGGGCCACACTCTGCTGGAAACTCAGTAGTAGAAGAAGAAACTGAGCTGAGGCGGAAGTTAGATGAATGATGTTTTCTTTCCTGATTTGATGTTTTTTCTCTTATTTCTTTGAGTTTTTCGTCACTTTTTGAGTTTATTCACATTTAAAGTTTTATTTGAARATAATTCTGTCGCTTCGAACCGTTTAGTTTCTTATTTCTTAGCTGAACGATGCAGAAGCGGGAAATTTGAAAAAGAAAAACCAGTTTAATTAACACCAGGACAAACCCGTGGGTTCTGTTATGTTCCATGATCCGGATCTCGGTCCGGATCTGTCATCCTGCAGCTCAAGCACCGGGGAGGTTTTAACCCGCTCCACTCGTGTTCTGGTTCCGAACCACAGAGACGGAACCCASCCGGTCCACATCACGGTTCAGAGACTGCGGGACCCTCTCCGGCTTCACCGGACCGAGCAGAACCAGACGCGGCAGACGAGAGCCGAACCGAAACCAGACGACGTGGATCCGGATCGGGGAGCAGCGGGTTCCCAGCCGGACCGGAACCGGTCTGTCCGAACCACCGGCCGTGGAGGTAATTATACAGAACTTTTGTGTTGATTCTGGGTCAGGACGGTTTTAGTTTTCTCCTTTTGTTACCGTGGTGACAGAAGAAACCGGAAACTCGTTCTGCTGTTTTATTTTGAAAATATTCGGAAACAGGAAACCATCCTGTTTCTCTACGGAAGAGGATTAGGACCACTGTAAAAATAAAATATTTATGTTATCTTTTATAATCTATACATAATATAATTATGTCGCCTTTTTATTTTTGTGATTTGTGTTTTTTTATTGTACATAAATTTTGTTGTTTTTATAAGAAATGAAATGAATGAATAAACAAATTGAAATTTTATTCTGACTTTAGTCAGAAATTGAGATTAAAGTCAGAATTCATTTATTTCCAGTGGCCCTAATTTTCTTCTTCTTCTTCTTCTTCTAAATATTATTATAAATATTATTAAAAATGTTATTATTAATAAGCTCATGTAAACATTGAGTAAAAACATAAATACATACACAAACTGTAGTAATACTGTAAAGTCTTAGTATAATTGTCTCAGTTTTAACAGAACCTCTTGGGTCAGCTTCATTAAATCATGACATCACTTCCTCCTCAGGTGAGGAGCTGCTGACGTCGTGCTTCACCACGGGACAGAGACCAGCTGTCCTCCAGGCTCTGAGACAACGAGTCCAAACCGGGCTCCAGAAAAACAGGTTTTACTAAAGTGTTGGAAGAAAACCTGGAGCCAGACCTCACAGAGACTCAGGGACACCCAGACCAGGTCCAACAGAGACTCAGGGACACCCAGACCAGGTCCAACAGAGACTCAGGGACACCCAGACCAGGTCCAACAGAGACTCAGGGACACCCAGACCAGGTCCAACAGAGTGGTTAGGGGAGTTGGCGGTTCAGTTGCCCTGTATTTAGTCACGTGTTGAAGTGTCCTGTGAGTGTATGGATTTAAAGCACTGATGAGTCTCTACAGACAGAAGTTAGCTGACAGTAGTACTGAGAACAGTTAATGAGGGCCCAGGTTGGAACGAGAGGAGCTTTATTAATATTTCATCTAGGATATGGTCCAACAGAAACTCCCCTCACATGAATAAACTCACTAAAATCCTCATGATTGTGTCTCAGAAACTTTGCTTTTTGTGTTTCCTGCCTGTCTGTGATCTGCTCAGCGGTCACAGCGCCCCCTGCAGGAGGGAGGTCCGAGTCCAGCTGCTGGATCCACACCTGGTCCAGACCACTGCAGGACCTCAGGACACTCTGAGGGATCAGGGTCCAGGCAGCGTGTCTGCAGCTCGGACTGAACCGGACCCGTTGTCGGGTCGCCCGGGGGACGCCAGCAGCACGGTGGCTGTAGCAGCTGCTGCCGCCGCTGTAGCAGCTGCTGCCGCTCCTCTCGTGAAGGTAAGGTTAAGAGACGACGAGTGACATGTTGGAGCGTAAAAACATTTCTATGACTCTGTAAATAAAATAAAACCAGCTGTTAAATAATGTTCTGTGTGGTGCGTTCAGGCGCAGTCCGACATCGAGGCGCGGGTGTCCCAGCTGGCTGAGGGTGTACAGAGGCTGCTGCACACTAACAGGTACACACTCCACAGGTGTTTCCCTGCTTACACCTGTTTCTTTTGTCAGGTAACTTCTGATTATTTTCTGCTTTGCTTGTTTCTGTTTCTCATTTGTGCCCCGTGACGTCATTGTGACCTCTGACCTCAGGGATCCTGAGGGGCGGAGCCTCAGCCAGCAGACACTGCAGCAGCTGGAGACGCTGCAGAAACAGCAGCTCCAGCTGCAGGTAAARACACTCACCTGAGCTGCTGCGTCCGCTCCACCACCTGACTCACGACTGCCTGTCCTCTCATCCAATCAGAGCCAGCTGCTGGAGTCCGCAGTCAGGATAGTGACAGGCCACGCCCCCGTGAAGTCAGACCCCAGAGCTGCAGGTGAGTCAGCCTCAGACAKCCACCTGAAGCAGAGCCGTTCTCCACTTTTATTTATTTATTTATTTATTTGTTTATTTATTTATTTATTTATTTATTTATTTATTGATTGATTTATTGTACCTGAAACTTTTATTTGGTAAATAAAGATGTTTTGCAGCTGATTTGTCTTTTTGTTTTTGTTCTGACTGAAGTGAGGTTCTGCTGGGTTTAGCCAGCAGAGGGCAGCACCACCTCTGTCAGCTTCACCTGAGCTGTTACCATGACAACACACAGGTTAGGGCTGCAGGGAGGGAGGAGGTTGTGTTGCCATGGTAACCAGGGATGTCTGTAGCTCTGAGTTATTTATAAACGGTTATTGTGTGTGTTTATTTGTTTGTGTTTGTTTGTGTGTGTGTGTTTTATTTGTGTGTTTATTTTTTGTGTGTATTTATTTGTGTGTTTTTATTTATGTGTTGTTTGTTGTTTATTTGTGTTTATTTGTCTGTGTTTATTTGTTCGTGTTTATTTGTGTTTGTTTGTGTGTTTATTTGTAAAATTCTCGTGTTTTTGTGTGTCTCTCAGAGAAGACTCGGAACCACAGCTCTTCTGCTGCTGTCCCTGTTACCATGGAAACAGGCGGCCCTGACCCCAGGTCAGACCGGACCAGGTGAGTCCTCCGGACCGGGTCTCATCGACCGTTTTCTGTTTTATTTGGTACCAAAACAGAGGAAGCTCAGTTCTCTCAGTGTGTGTGTGTGTGTGTGTGTGTGTGTGTGTGTGTGTGTGTGTGTGTGTGTGTGTGTGTGTGTGTGTGTGTGTGTGTGTGTGTGTGTGTGTGTGTGTGTCTGCCCCCTTGTTTTTGTTACTTGGTGGGGACCGGATGCTGCTTTGCAAAGCCCGGTCCCCACGGGGATATAAAACCAGACCTGTGTGTGTGTTGGGGGAGGGGTGCTCCCTCAGCGCGCGGGGCTCCACCCCTCCTCTTCCTCCTCCTCCTCCTCCTCCTCTCTGCAGCAGGAGGAGGAAGAACGTCTCTCTGTCTTCATCTCAGTCCGGTTCTCCTCCGTGTCGAACCGGACCATGTCTCAGTCCCGCAGGCGGTCCTGCTACCTGTGCGACCTGCCCCGGATGTCCTGGGCCATGATCTGGGACTTCACCGAACCGGTCTGCCGGGGCTGCGTTAATTACGAGGGCACGGACCGGGTCGAGCTCGTCATCGAGACCGCCCGGAACCTGAAGCGGGCCCACGGCTTCCAGGACGACCGAACCTCCACAGGCGGACCCGCCAAGACCCAGGTGGTTCCGAGCGGGAAGGAGCCGAACCAGCTCCCTGTTGACGGACAGGGTTCGGACCGGTACCCGCACGGAGCCGAGAGCCGGGATCGGTTCGGGTTAAAAACGGAGGAGGAACCTCCGGACCTGAACCGACAGAGTCCGAACTCTCGGAGCAGGACTAACGGGAGTCCAGTGTCGGTACCGGGGAAGATGACGGTACCGCCGAACCTGCTGCCTCAGGTGAGCCGAACCTCCTCTCAGAACTCTGTGGACCCGGGAGGGAAAGGACCCACCTCGGACCAGGACCAGGACCAGGACGTGAAGGACCGGCAGAGGAACAGCGAGGTTCTGACCGAGCTCAATGAAAGCCTCCGGAACCGGCAGGAGGAGTGGGCCAGCAGACCCAAACTGGTCCGGGACACCCTGCTGGTTCTGTCCAAGTCCACCCCGTTTGATGTCCGGTTCAAGAAGGACCACGGTCTGGTGGGCCGGGTCTTCGCCTTCGATGCTGTGTCCAAAACCGGACTGGACTTCGAGCTGAGGATCTTCATCGAGTACCCGTCCGGTTCTGGTTCCGTGTTCTCCAGCGCCTCCGGGGTGGCCAAGCAGATGTACCAGGACTGCATGAAGGACCTGGGCCGGGGTCTGTCCTCCGGGTTCCGGTACCTGGAGTACCAGATGAAGCTGGGTTCTGGGGACTGGCGCCTGCTGGGGGACCTGTTACCGGAGTCCCTGCGGGTCTTCAGGGACCGGGTCGGAGAGGACCTGCTGCCCCAGCCTCACATCGACCCGATGCTGCCCACCCCCCTGGTTCTGCTGGGCCGGGGGTCCGGCAGCACCAGGATCGGTGGGAGGAAGCGAAAAGTCTCTCTTGATCCTGATCTGGACTTGAAACTGACGGAGGACCAGAACCAGAACCAGCAGCAATGGACAGAGACCCTGAAGCAGTCCTTCCTGGACCAGAACTCAAACCCAGCTGCGCGGGGCGACCAGTCCCCCAGCAAAGACCCGGTCCATTCCACCACTGACGGCCCCGTGTCTCCTGGTTCTGATCCGGGACACCCCCAGAGCGTCCCGGACTCCCCCCCGGTCCAGAGCGGACCCCTGAGCTGCACTCTGTGCCACCAGCGCCTGGAGGACACTCACTTTGTCCAGTGTCCGTCGGTTCCGGTCCACAAGTTCTGCTTCCCCTGCTCCAGAGACAGCATCAAGACCCAGGCGGGTTCTGGGGAGGTGTACTGTCCGAGCGGGTCCAAATGTCCCCTGCTGGGGTCCAGTGTCCCCTGGGCCTTCATGCAGGAGGAGATCAGAACCATCCTGACCGGAGACGTGAAGAAGGAGCAGGACCCCTGAACCGAACCGGGCCGGACCGGACTGGACCGGGTCTTTTCTGCTGGAGAACCAGACTCTGAACCAGGACCTGGACCCGTTCTTATGAGCCTCAGAACCYACCCGGTTCTGTTAGTACAGCTGCAGGTTCTTCTGTTAGTTTAATAACAAATATTTTATTTTTTATTAGAAAATTTTTAATCACAAAAATAAAAAACTTTTTTTAAAGAATTTTATGATTTAATTTAAATCCTTTGTTTTGACCCAACAAACATTTTTATTTATTTAATTTATTTTTTACAGTAAAACAGAAAATAATCATCAAGCTCTGTTTTCATCGTCATCACTTCATGAATGATGTCATTTCCTGTATGGGACCAGAACTGGTTCTGCTGAGTCCTGGGTTTCTGTTGGACCGGGTTTTGGGTCTGAGTGAGTTTAATAAATCCTGTTGGTGGAAAAGTCTCCCGTCTTTTTATGTTCAAGTCAGGATTTAAAGTTTTAATGAGCTAAAAACACCTGTTCAGGAAGTGCATCACCCGCAGACTTTCAAAATAAAAGTATGAAATGATATTTATCTGTAAAAACACAGACTGCTGACATCTGCTGAAGTTGACTCAGCAATTAAAGTTAGCAGCTGCAGAACAGCAGCTAAATATAGCAGAGCAGCAGCTAAAATGTAGCAAAACATTAGCTAAACGTAGTAGAACAGCAGCTAAATGTAGCAGAACAGCAGCTAACTGTAGCAGAACAGCAGCTAACTGTAGCAGAACAGTATATAAATGTATCAAAACAGCTAAAAGTAGCAGAACATTAGCTAAACATAGCAGAGAAGCAGCTAAATGTAGCAGAACATTAGCTAAATGTAGCAGAGCAGTAGCTAAATGTAGCAGAGCAGCAGCTAAATGTAGCAGAACATTAGCTAAATGTAGCAGAGCAGTAGCTAAATGTAGCAGAGCAGCAGCTAAATGTAGCAGAGCAGTAGCTAAATGTAGCAGAGCAGTAGCTAAATGTATCAAAACAGCTAAATGTGGCAAAACATTAGCTAAACATTGCAGGGCAGCAGCTAAATGTAGCAGAACATTAGCTAAATGTAGCAGAGCAGTAGCTAAATGTAGCAGAGCAGCAGC